CTCGGAGCGAGCCGACCCCAGCGCCTTTCCCCTGCCGTCGCCGCTCCCACCGCGGTCGCCTCCGACGCTCCAGCCTCGGGACCGCCACACAAAAGCCGCCCTCTCCGCGTCGCCCACCCCGGGAGGCTGCAGCCGGCCACCGACCCCACCTGAGGGCGCCTCGGGCTGCGGACTTCGCTCTCTGTCCGAGCTCCGCGTCCCACGCGGGCACCAACCCCGCCGCCCATGGCTCTGATCATGGAACCAGTGAGCAAATGGTCTCCGAGTCAAGTAGTGGACTGGATGAAAGGTAATGCCCTCTGTGGGGAGGGCGAGGCGACACTGGGGCAAGGGGTCCCGGTACGAGGGAGGGGCGCCCACCATGGCACAACCCGTCCTGGGAGCTTCCAACCGACTGCTAACGGTCCTCGCTGGCATGGACGGGGTCCTCGGGCTCTGATGGGGGCCCGGGGACCCTGGTCTCCTTTTGTCTTCAGCCAGAGGGGCGCGGGGAGCGAGAGAGCGGCGGGCGCCACCTGGTTGAAGCTGGAAGCAGGGCGGTGGAATCCAGGCGCATCTTAGCCGCTTCCCGCTTCCCTCGACGCCTTCGGGCCGGGAGGACACGGCGACCCTTGTTTCCCGGCTATGGGAGGAGCCCTCGGGACCTATTCTCACGGTTGCCCCTTCCCCAGTCCCTTTGTTCCTGGAAACCTGAGGCCCCTTCTAGGTTTCGCCCTGCCAAGTGCCTTCCCCAGTGCCAACTCTCCTGGCAACTTTTAAGCCCGCATAATGGGGTCAGGATGCAGTTGCTCGGGTCGGGAGCTGGGGAGCCCCTCCAAGCTGGGCTGAGGATGATCGGGAACGGGAAGCGCTACTTTGGGGGAGAGAAAATACATGCTTCCCTTGGGACAGCATCCCTGCTGATACGTGTAGGTTCCCTCCTGCGCACTCCCTAGCATATCCTTTGCTTTCCTAGGTTGAGGTATGCGGAGGCTTTAGACCTCTCACTGCTTTTTGTTAAGGACTCAACATCAGGTTTAAAGTGGTGCGCATTCAAGTACTCTCTCCTTTCTTCCATCTTGAAGCCCCCCCCCCACTCCCGACAATTTCTAATAACCGGTTTCAAACCTTCACCCTCCTCCTAGTCGCAAATATGGTCTTTTTCTCTAGTCTTTGGGCTTTCCTGTCTCACTATCTCCCTCTGTTGTCAGAGTTGAATGGCTTGTAGGGAATCTCTCCAATCCATCCCCAGACCGAACTCTGAGAAAGGGATGCCTGGGTTGGAATAAAAGATTCTTGGAGATGGCTTGGAAAATATTAGAGTTTTGTTTGGGGTGGTACCCAAGCACACAAACTTAAGATACGTAGACTTCAAGTCTTATGCCTGAAAATGCCCTTTCCAAAGATGAAGGAGCCCCTTTTCTAAGTCTTGCTTAGCAGTCAGACTTTCTAAGCTCCACGTACTTGAAAATGGAAGGTGGGTGGTTGATTGGAAGGTATTGAAAGTAGTAGGGAGAAACTCAATTCTCCCCTTATTTTCCCCCCACATATTCAGACGTTTGCTTGTTCTTCTGGATTTCCCTTTATCTGTTTTGCTTCCTTTTCTCACTGATTTTCCCTGCTACTCCTCACTTACTTGGTTTTTCTCATCTAATATGTGGGGAAAATGCTTTGTAACTGCGAAGCACAGTGTAAGTGCAAGTGAATTGAATTAAACCTAATTCATTATTTATCCACTGCCCCCTGTGTGCAGTGCATTGGGTGTCATGGGGATTATAAAGATGACTAAGACAAAGTCCAGCAATGGCTCATATTTTCTGCTGCGTGTTCTCTTTCCACATTTTGCTATTAAAAATCCAGCTTCCTGGATTCCCATTAACCCCTCCCCAACACACACACACACACACACACACACACACACACACACACACACACACACACACTTCTGGGGGGGGGGAAATCTTTCAGTTTCTCAGTCATGGAAGACAGTATTCACAGGAAGTAAGAATATTTAATTAAAACTATTTCTTTGAATTTGTCTAAAAGATGAGTTTAATTTAAGTCTGTTGCTGCAACAGTATTCAGAGAAAAGGTGTCTTGGCTTTAGATTACCTCCAAGGATTGCCTTCTAGAAATTCCCATGCTGCCTGTAATGAGTGCTGCGTACTCCATCTTCTTTACCTCCCACCCAGTTACATTGTTGCATTTTCCCTTCTCTCCACTGTTTTAGGTCCCCTGAAGCAAGCACACCAGATGATGTATGTAATCTGACACACGTTATTAGTTTTCCAGTACACTAGTCCTTTAAATATCTCTCCAGTGCAAAATGCAGTTTCTTTGAACTTTGGTAAAGACTATTTGCTGTAATTTTTTAACTTCACATGATATTTCAGTTGGATAACTTGTTTTTGTACCTGTTGGTGACACATTTTCCAGCTTGAAAAGACCAGTTCGGTAAGTGAGGTAGAACTTGCATTCCTTTGTATGACAAACGACTGGATGACGTGGGAGAGTGGCTGCTTTAATTACCAATTGCAGGTCCCAATTAGCTGCTGCTGCTAGGTCCCAAACTACTTATTGTTAAAATTTCTGTGGTAGTCATATAAATTTGAGATTCTATCAGAAAAGGAGATTTTTAAATAATACTTGGAGGAAAGGAACATTTCCCCAACTTGCCCCTTATAGTGTTACCTTAGTTAATTTTCTCTACTCTTTTCCCCCAGGAAACTTGAACAAAAGACAAAAATATTTTTCACACTTTCCTCAGTTGCAGAAATGTTTGAAAGCCAACTGCTAATTTAGCTGATAGCTTTGAGATGATTAAACCTTGCTTAATGTTTTTATATATAGTGTTATAAAGCCAGTACTAAAACATTAATAACACTTGTTGTTTGAAAAAGGATCTCATATAGCACAGGCTGGCCTTGAACTCTGTGTACCCAAGCATGACCTTGAATTTCTGATCCTGCTTTTCCCACTGCCCCAGAACTGGGATTACTGGCATATGCTACACCACTCTTGGTTTTATGTGGTGCTTGAGATTAAGCTCAGATCTTCCTACAGGTTAGGTAAGCATCAAGTGAGCTAAATCCCCAGCCCCTAAAAACCTGAGTAAGACTTTTCAATAACTGCAACATGCTGGGAGTTCTTCAGAACATATTTCTTGTGTGCCAGCTTCATCATCCTTAATACTTGTAGCTTTCAGATGGTCACAATCATAGCTCCCTATACTGTTTTAGTAAGGTACAATCTTCATATTCTTTCGAGGATTTTTTTATTTACTAAGAAGGAAAACATCATTTATGATTCCAGACAATTTATAGAAATTATATAGAAAGTAAGTCATCAAAGAGGGAAATGAAGGAGAAAAATAACCTTATTGAGCTTTCACAGCATATGTTCAAGATTGTTTTAGGAAGGACCATTAACGTGACAACTCATTTTGATCTATTATTTTTATTTAAATGTATTTGAAGGATATACCAATATAAAATATATATATTAATTTTTAGCAAAAATATAAGTTGCTCATATACTCTTTGTAAATACAGTACTGGTCAAATTTTCTGAAGTAAATATACAATGCATAATCTACTTATGAGTCAGTAAAATAAAGACTTTATTCCAGATTATTTTTGTAGTACTTCTGGATATTTGGTGATAGATCATAAACTTTTACATTAACCAAAAATTAAGTTTATAAAATTACTGTTGGAGAAAATCAATATACTCATCCCCTTTATTAACACTTGAAGCCAACCTTCTTCAATTGGAAAGTATGTTCAGCAATCTTAGAGTTTTGATAAAGTCTTAAAACAGGCATTTTCAAAATCAACAAAGGCAAGCAAGTTACTAAGAAAAGTCATAGACAATAAAGTAAGCCAGTAACTTTCTAATTTGTTGCTGAACCTATTAATCTAAAATATGTTATCTTTTAGTTCCTGTTTGTTTATTTGATAATCCTAGAAATACTTATAATCTATAGTTACATGAGTCCCTGTTCTGTATATTTTTTTCACTGAAATATAACAAAAACCTCAGAACACTTAAATGTTCCTCTTACTAATTTTATTATTAAATTTCCCTGTCCATCTTATATCAAGTCATTCTACTCTTCCTTTCATAACTTTTTGAGCTTTGAGACTAATGCAAAATATCCATATGACCAAGATAATTCTTTTTTAGGACCATTTCCCTCTGTGACATTCTTCTAGTAAGCTTTAATTTCTTTCTCGTTTAAATAAAATGACTATCATCTTCAGAGCAAAGCAGAAGGCCCACTTAGCTAGTCTTTTTTATGATTTCTGGGATTTAATGCTAAAATAATCTAAAATTTTAAGAGTCTTTAACCTATCCCACAATCAACTGTCCTACTCTTTCTTGATCATAATGAAACATTTTGTTCGAGAAGTAGTCCCTACCTTCTGGTTTCTGTACTGATGACTCAGCCATCTTGAGGATAGAAAATGAAATAACATTATTTTAGGTGTTTAAAAAAAAAAACCAAACCTCATGTTTTTGCATGCAATCCTATGATAGAGGGAAATGTAGTGATTACATGATGTCTATTCGGTATAAATGTGAAGAAGAGACTGTATCTGCTTAAAAAAAAAAAACCTTGACAGGTGATTAATGATTCTTTTCCTCCCCTTATAGGACATTAGAGCTTAAGTTGAAATATATCTTAATCATATAAAGGAAATTATCAACATTTTGAGTGAAATTGAATTGAGAGAAAGAAATTAGAAACATTTATGGCAAGAACTCAAAACTCTCCACGCTGTAAGGAAAAGATGTTAAACATAATTGATCACATTGTTCCTATCACTTGAAAATTTGATCCATTTTTCGAATACAAGGTGACTAGATAGGCACAGCAATCATCTACTTTGGATTCGATGGTTTTGCTTTATTTTTTTTTCCTAATGGGAATTCTTGTTATTTTATGTAAAAGAAAAAAATGACATTTACGTTCTGATAAGTGTAGTTCACAAGAAATACTTTATTTCTATTGTCATTGACATTTGATTTCTAACATTCACAAATTTAGTCCTGATTAGGAAGAAAGCAACTAATTACATAATTATATTCTGGTCCTTAGGTATTATTTACTGAGTACATGTGCATGGACGTTTTTTTAATGGATTAAAAAATATTCTCTGCTAGCCGGGCGGTGGTGGCGCACGCCTTTAATCCCAGCACTTGGGAGGCAGAGCCAGGAGGATCTCTGTGAGTTCGAGGCCAGCCTTGGCTACCAAGTGAGTCCCAGGAAAGGCGCAAAGCTACACAGAGAAACCCTGTCTCGAAAAA